GTCCTGTGTAGATGTAGCCTGGCTAGGTGTTTTCTGGAAGAACTCGGTCAATCCAGGATGCACAGCTCAGTGACTTACGGTCCACCTCTGGTCCAGCTGTAAGTGGATGAGGGTTCGTCAGGCTTGGTATGGGGTTGTCACAGGTTGGGATACCTCACTTCTAAATCTGAAGCCAGCTACGATTTGCAGAGCTCGGTGTCCGTTCCTTTCTGAGATATTCAAGGTCAGCTTTTTGTTTGGGCCATGGCAGGCACACACATTAGGTTTAGATTTTCTCCTGGGGACAGTCACTGGGATAGCTTCAGACTCAGTTCAGCCTGCCCTCGCTTGTACCGGCACCCAGGGGAGTAACGACCATGTCTTGAGTTGGCACCAGAGCCACTCTGGGACCTCATCTTTGCCTCAGTCTCTCTGAGTATCCTAAGGCCCATCACAGGATGGGGGTGACTGGAGGGTCACGTTTCCAATCTTTGCCAATGATGACATTGGCAAATGTGACATCTTTGCCAATGATGTTGTATGTGTAAGGCCACACATACATGCTGACACTGTCCCAGGAATGGGCATGTTTCTCACATCAGCAGATAAAAGGACCTAAAGACAGGAGCTAGTTCTTTGAAACCGGCCCGTGATGACCTTGACAGCCATGAACATAACACGATACTGGCTGTGTGAAGACATCCTGTGTCTAGAAACACATGTCAAGAACATGAAACCGACAAACATAGGTGACTCCCTTTTGGAATTTTCTGGCAATGTCTGGGCTTCCCTTGCCCTCTGAAAGGTCCTGTCTCGTGGAGCTGGCATCAAGACAAGGCTGATATCAACAGCTCGGATGTTTAGTGACCTTTGCTCCACATTGCCTGGTGATGTTGCCCCTCTTTGTAGATTCCCATTCCAAAGTCTCCTTGGCCTGTGTGGTTAGGCTCTTTAGAAGGATTTTTCTGGCTTCCAATCCACTATTCTTGTTATAGAACCCTTCTTGGAAAAGACCTCAGGCAGGGGCCTTACTTACGGAGACCAGGAAAGCTCACTTCTAAATCTGAAGCCAGCTACGATTTGCAGAGCTCGGTGTCCGTTCCTTTCTGAGACATTCAAGGTTAGCTTTTTGCTTGGGCCATGGCAGGGACACACTCCTGGGGACAGTCACTGGGATAGCTTCAGACTCAGTCCAGAGACCTACAAGAGGCTACCATGGAATGACCAGAGAGGTCCCTTCATGAGCTGTGTGTTCTCTCGGTTGATGTGCTTTGACAGCCCTCCCCAGCCAGCGCTACCAGTCTGCTTTCCTGTCAGGTCACCATGTCTTATCCAAGATTCCAAGGTGACAGAGTCGATCCATTCTCTAGTATCAGTTACTTTCTGTTGCTGTGAGGAAAATACCCCAACAGCAGCAACCCGAGAAAGAACTGCCAGTCCAGACACAGCCCAGTGAAGCTTCATCTCCGAACAGTTCCAAAACCGTCCCCAAATGTCCCCACCAGCTGGAGACCAAGTGCTCAGACATGGGAGCCTGTGGGGGCGTTGGACATTTGGGTCACCATGTCGGTGGCCTGGCCGACTTGTCTAAGTTTGTCCTATCCTGAGTCAAAGATCCTAGGGCATAAGGGCCACTTGTCTGCACCCTTTAAGTATATTGGGGTTTGACAAGAACCTCAGAATAATGAGCTGGTGGCTGCATCCCATGGGAGCCCCAGAGCTCACCAGGGCCCCTCTTTTTCTCAGCCGCATACCTCAGGAGTATGGAGACAAGTGGAGAGGTGGTTGTTCATCTCCCCCCAGATTCAGCTTGGAGAGCTGCCTCTGTGCTGTGATCCTAATTCCCGCTCCCACCCTGGGAGGGCACTGGTCCTCATCGTCCAACTTGATTCTAATTTCTTGCATGCTCTAGTGATTACTGCCCACTTGTTAGAGTCCAGGCTCAGCAGACAGGAACGGGCCCACATCTCAGTACCCATGAGTTCCCACATCCAGACAGGAGGTTAGCCTTTGCCCCCAGGGGCATGGATGAGCTGCTTCCTGATTGGGGTTCAGCTGATGGGGAGGCAGCTGCAGACAGGACTCAGCCAATGGGAACTTGGACCAGAAGAAACAGAAGAAAGATGGAAGGAGGGAGGAAAGGGGGATCTAGGCCAGCAATGCCCTTGGGAGCTCAGCATCCCTCAGTATCAAAAGGATGATGCCATGGCCGTCTTCTGAATGGATATACCCTGCAGCAGTCAGAAGACACCAGCTCAAAGAAAAGAGATTACATTGCTCAGAGGCCAAAGCCCCTAAGGATATGCAGGTGTTCCGGCAGCGAGAACGTGTATTTCCAGAACACTGGGTTGACTGAGCAACCTGGGAATTGAAGAATTAAGGAACTTGGAGGTTTCAGGGATAAGTCACTGGACTGAGTCCTTCCCTTACTGCCTCTGTGTCTGGAATAGACTGCTCAACCCTTAAATAGAGTTTAAGGGTTGAATGTAAACCCTCTAAAATACACACTGTAAAGGGTGCTCCTGTCTCCAGCAGCAGGGGTGCTCGGCCCAAGCTGCTACTTGAGCACAGCCTCTTCTGGAGAAGAAATTATTTTTAAGGATGAGTCAGCATGGAGCGAGTTTGGAATCGAGTTAGTAAAGTTCTGGACTTGGTAAGACGACAATGCAGGCTTTAAGTGTGGGCATGGAGACACACACACACACACACAGACAGACACACTTAAGGGCAGGACATTTGAGGAAGTGAGGGCTTCTCAAGGGTTTGGAGTCATTGGGATTTTGGATAGCCCCCTTTATGAGCAAACTTAATGGAAGGGTGATTATTTATGAATTAAAGTGAGGTAGGTGGGGGATTCTATGTGTGGTTTTTCCCAGAATGGGGTTCACTGTTTTTGGTCCATTATGGGGTTTTCCAGATGTGTTATGACATCAGATGAATAATGGGGGAGACAATCTTGCCAGGCCAGTGAGGGCAAGCTGCCATTATAGCGGAGCCAAGGACAGTCAATGAGCGTGTTGCTCAGTCATGCTGACCCAGCTGGGTTTGGGTTGTCTTATTCATTGATGGAGAGATACAGGATGTTTCACTATCAGACAGTTGTTTTTTTTATTTTTCTTTAAGTGACAAGCAGTTGGCCTTTTCATCCCTGCCTAAGCAGCCTGTCCCCTGTCACTTTAGCTGAAGCATTTAAAGACACTGTCTTTTGCAGCTTGCTCTGAGATACTGATGTTTCTTCTCTTCCCCGAGCCTCCTCTTTTGTGGAAGGGCAGGAGAGGGGTGATTTAGGCCTGGTAATTTCCAATGCCTCAGAGCTTAGTTTGATATTTTTTCTAAAAACATTTTTCCTTGTATGTATACATGTGTGTATTTTCACACGAGTGCAGCTACCCAGTGTCCAGAAGAGGGAGCTAGAGCTATTGGTGCTCATAAGTCTCTTTGACCATGTGCTGGGGATTAAACTAGGGTCTGATATAAGATCAGTGTACGCTGTTAAATTCTTGAGTCATCTCTCTCCAGCCCCACATTTACTCTCGTTGGTCCCTCCAATCCTTTCTAGAGGCTTCGAGAGAAAAACAACCAGTGGATACCTCAATAGCAATGTTGGACTTAGGTGCGGGTGATCTCAGTTGTCAAGGCCACTCTGAGGGCTGAAAACTCTGGCTGGAGTTAGGGTGGACTCTACAGCCCCCAAATTTCCCCTAATAGGCCTGTTTAACCTTTTGGCTGGTCAACTTGGCACTATCATCTACGAAGCTCACACACGAGAAATAGGCAATCAAGTTAAAAAAATCGAAGCTTGGACTATCAGAGGGGCCCCTGGCAGTAGGACCAGGATCTATCCCTGGTGCATGAGCTAACTTGTTGGAGTCCATTTCCTGTGGTGGGATGCCATGCAGCGGGGAGGGGCTTGGTCCTGCCCGGACTTAATGTGCCAGGTTCTGTTGACTCCCCATCAGAGCCCTTACCTGTCATGAGGAGTAAATGGAGGGTGGTCTGGAAGGGAGGTGGGGGGTCGGGGAGGGAGGAGGAGTGGGGAGGAGAACTGTGGTTGAAATGGAAAATGAAATAAAAAAAATAAATTAAAAAATAATTTTAAAACTATAGTATTTAAAGCATGCTTCTACATTAAACTATGCGTTATTGTTGATACTAAGAGTGTCAGGCCATGGCCTCCATATTGACAGGGATGCTGAATGACTTTTTACGCGTTCGGTGGCCTGTGTGCATTTGCGGTAGAGAATCGTCTACCGGAGTCCTTTGCCCCTTTGCTGATCTGGCGGTTCCGTTGGTAAGTACGTTTTGCACTTTAGCTCTTTACGAGATAAAGAATTAATATAAACTTCTCAAGGCAGAACAATATCTTCAGAGTCTTTTAATTTTTACAAAGCAGCTGGAGAATCTTGGTTCTCCAAGGAACACTCTAGAAAGGTCACAGAGCAAACTGAAATCACCCTTGTGAAGGGGAAGGTGAGAACAGTACCCAGGGAAAACCATGGTGAGACCCCTGCTTTTAAGACCTGTCTCTGAGGCGATGGGAGAGAAACACACAGAAGAGGTGAGGAACGCTGAAAGAGGCACTGTGAGCTGGGGCCAGGCACGGCAGGCCAGCGGGACCTGTCTGGAAGATGGTTTGCCCAGGACCAGACAGTCTCTGGGCATCCAGAAGAGCTTTTAAACATAAAAGAATGCAGAGGATGCTCCATGCCAGCCCTGTGCTAAAACTCTCCCTAAGGGATTCCTTCTGGAGAGGGCTGGGGAACTTCAGGCCTCAGGAAACTCACTGCACCTGGCTGACAGAGCCTAGGAATGACCAAATCCCCAGCCTGTGGTATTCACGGGTGTGCAACAGGAACTTGAGTGAGAGGCAGCCTCTTGCCTGGGGTGCTTTGACGATGGTGGAGAAAGGAGCAGAGAGGCCCCACCCCGAGCCCAGCCCTTCTGTGTGGTCAGGAGAGGAGGTCGGCCCCCACTGTGCCTGTGGGTCCCTGTTCTATCCCCCCCCCCCCCCCAAAGGTCGCAGGACCGTGAGGGGTGAGGGTGGCTTCTGCTACTCCTGTTTTAGTAGAACACCTTCTCCAGGTACGGATTCAAGAACATTCCAGTGGGGTCCAGCTTCTCGCGGATGTCACAGAACTTTCGAAAGGCGGGGTACATTTTCTCAAAGTCCTTCCTGGTGCAATTGTGGGCCTGTGGAAGCAAGCAGACGCAGTAGACTTCGTCTTAACAGAGCTGGCAGGCTACGCTACATACAGGCCAGGACCCAACGTCTCCGAGCCTTATGACACTGCTCCCCCACCTTCTGCACACAGTACAGACTTCCAGACAGAAAGAAAGGGGTCTGGAAAGTAAAGCTGAAGGAATTTAGAATTCATCACTGGTCCCCTCATCCCATAACACCATGGAGGTCCTGGCTCTGGTCCCACCATCGCACAGGTCTTCTCTTTCCTATCAGTTAAATGGACACACAGATCCTTATCCCGTTCACAAGCGCCACAGGAAAATCCTATAAAGTGAAGGAAGTTTCTATGAAAATCCCCAAGGGCCCCTTTACTAGCTCAGAGTAATGGAGAGGAGCGGCGCCCTCTGGTGGAAGCAAAGCGCATAGCAGCAGCCCCGTGGCGACGGGTGCCGAAGAGTTACCTTTGCCCAGTGGGGCCTGCCTCCAAACTTCTTCATGATGGTCTCATAAGCCTGCCAGTAGTCCAGCCGAGGCACATCCTTGCCATAGGGCCTAGGGCAGAGAAAAGATGGTTAGCCAGCCTTCCCTGTCTCATGAGGTGCCTCTCTTGCCTCTGGTGCATTCCCAGCAGCCTGCCCTAATCCGGCAGGTGACTGGAGTTCCGACTGGCCCTCCCTGCAGGACAGCACAGACAGGGCAAGCACCTGAAGGCTTCTGCTCATGGCGCATCCCCAAGGGATCCCCAAAACTTTGTCCCCTTTGTGTATTCAACAGCTGGTACCTGGATATGACTGTGAGTTTACTCTTGGCCAGAGACCCTAAGGTAATGGAGCTGAAAATTTTCTTCTATCCTGCCTGGCCTTTGCTTTACACAGGTTAGCTACCATAGTATCAAAGAGAGACAGTGTAATGTACAGGCAGAAAGTCTGACCACAGCAGGGGTGTGCAGAGGGCATGCCAGCCAGGTTTGCACGGGGTGACATTCATTGTGACAAAATTGCTAATGGTATCGCACACATATAGTATTCACATCTACAATACTTACACACAATACTTAAACACACATAGTAGTCACACAGCCAGTATTCACACATGATTTACATAATTCACATGATCTTTGTGCAGCACCCATACACACCAGTCATATACAATACCCATACACATCACACACTCTCTCTCACACACACACACACACACACACACACACACACACACACACACACACACACAGCTAGTGCTTTGGAATCCCTGGACGACCTCATCCATGTCTGGAAAGCATGGCCATGTAACCTAATGAATGTCTCCTGCCCAGCAACACAGCCCCAAAGTGACTGGTCCCCAAAGCTGACTTCAGTGCTAGCATCGAACACGCACCTTCAGATGCATTCCTGGCAACTCTCACTTCTGCGTTTGAACTCAAGGAGCGAGGAAAGGAGACATACAGACAGCAAGAGCACCCCATGAGCATCGCCATAGCCATGTCCTCTCTGAACTAGATAGACTACCATTCCTTCACTGTGCCATTCAGAGCTCTTGTGGCTCCCTAAGAACTGTGACATCAGTTGTCCCTGGCTTTGAAATGATTGGGGACCTTTTACATGGGGAAGGAAGACCCTAGAAAGATCAGGACCACTCTTTGGCAAAGCCAGCGAAGGCCTGTGGAGGAAGCAGGGCAGGAGGTAGGTGGGTGGCAGACGAGGAATACATCTTAGCAAGGAACCAGGAAGGACAAATTCCTCCACATGTCTCCTGTTGGCTGAAAAGAGAGGTCAGCCGTGGGCTTGGGTTCAGTCACTGCGATTACAGATACATCCCAACATCAGGTTAATGTCTCCCCCACTGACTGAACTTAAACCAGCTTCAGAACTGGTCTCAGTATAGCACGGCTGCCAGGCCAGCAGAAAGCTTACCGACTTGGGCACCTGAGCTGGGATGGATTGCTCTTTTCCATCACATAGTCCTCATAAATGTTCAGTGTTAACTCACTGTTGGTGCTAGAATACAGGGATGAAGCCCAGGCTGGAAGTGGTACATAGCCCAAGAGTCTACAGGGAGGGAGTAGTATAAGAAGAACTCGAAGGAGTGAGATGCCACTTCCTGCAGCTAAAATCACTGCAATCTCCTGGTAGAGAAGATGGCCTCAGAAACGGGCATGAGAAGACTGAGGGAGGAGAGGAATCCCTTTACATGAGGGGACAGCTCCCTCTACCCCACGCCCTGCAGGGCCCTGTCACCTGTACATGATGATGTTCATGTAGCAGCTGTCTCTCTGGAAGCAGGGGCTCAGCAGGATCTCATCACCTCTGGTGAAGCGCACCTCCACGGGGAAGTGGGCTACCACATGGGGGTGGGCCTCCAGCATGGCCTTCAGCTCCAGCAGGGCCTCCTTGGTCTTCTCCCTGCCCAGGAGAGACCCCAGAGTAAGAAGGCACTGCCCCAGTCCCCTTCCATGGCTCCATACAGGGCTTCTGGGGATTTTCAGCCCAGGCAATAGGGACTCCCAGCTCTAGAGGGTCCTGCTTTTCATAGTAGGCCTGGGGGCGTGCCCTACCTGGGGATGGCCCAGTCTTGGACATGCTGCTTGAAGCGACACTCATAGGTGAAGATCTTGTGGCTGAGGTTGCTGCTCTTCTTCTTGTGGCTGAACAGCAGCCAGAAGAAGAAGCGGTTGATCCAGCCCACGAGGAATGGCCAATAGGTGCTGGAAGGGACAGGGCAGAGAGGTGGAGTGTGTGTGTGAGCAATTACTGTGTGTCAGCTGTGGGCTGAGCTCTTTCCACACCAGGCCCTCACTCCTCACTTCTACTCTCCTAGTGGCCTTGCTGGATACAGGTTGAGCCAGTATGGTGTTGGTCTCCTACCACCAGCCCTTAAGACTATGTGCAGGATCTTGTCACTTCATACCACGCAAAAACAGAGTTCTATGTCTCAAAGCCTTATGGGATAGCCAGGTCAAGGCGGAGTGTGGTTTTAATTTTGGCAGGTGCCTGCCAGGTTTAGTTCCATAAAGAATGTGCTGTTCGCTCTCCATCTACACCCTGGGAACCGTGATTCAATGCTGCCAAGAGAAAGCAGCTAAAAGGGGCCAGTGTCTTGGGAGAGGGTCTTGGGCTAGACACTTGTCCCTAGACACAATGCTGGGAGTTCCCCGGGGGACTATAGAAAGAGAGCTCAGTGCTTCCTGGGCCAAGACACAACTGCCTCTCAGCTTTTGGCTCTAGAAAGTTCACCATGCCATTGTTTTCAAGATCTACACACACACACACACACACACACACACACACACACACACACGCGCGCACATGCACGCTGGATTGCTCTTTGGCTGGTGGTGCATTCAAGAAACAATTAGATCACGAGGTGGGTGCTGCCTTCTTAGTGAGTTGACACACCATCAGGGAGTTCTCAGTTGTGTGGTCTCTCAGGAGATAGGGCTCAGGTGGGAGGAATTAGGTCACTAGGAGTGTGCCTCTGAATGTGTATCTACCCACCGACCTTTCCTTTCTCTGCTTCCTGCCTGCTGTGAGATGGTCAGTCCTCACCATGAGTCTCTGCCTCAGCCCCACAGCAGGGACATCAATGATCATGGACTGGGACCTCTGAACTCATGAGCCTAAATAAGCCTCCCTTCCTTTAAGATGACATTCTCAGGTGTGTTGTCACAGCAACAAAACACTGATGCTCAGAATCCACTCACCCACCAGACCACCCATCCATCCATCCATCCATCCATCCATCCAAATTATCCATCCATCATCCATCCATCCATCCATCCATCCATCCATCCATCCATCCATCCAAATTGCCCATCCATCTGTCCATCCATCCACCAAAATGCCCATTCATCAATCCAAACTGCCTATTTATCCATCCACCGCCCACCAAACCATCAGTCCATCCATCCATCCATCCATCCATCCATCCATCCATCTATCCACCCACCCACCAAACCATCCATCCATCCATCCATTCATCCAAACTGTCTATCCATCCACCAAACCTCCCATCTACCAATCCATCCATCCATCCATCCACCAAATTATCCATCCATCCATCCATCCATCCATCCATTCATATTTGTTGATCCACCAAACCATCCATCCATCCAAACTGCTCATCATCCATCCACCCATTCACCCACCCACTCACCCATCCATCCACCAGACTGCCCATCCACCAAACCACCAATTCATCCATCCACCCACCCACCAAACCATCCATCCATCCATCTATCCATCCATCCATACATACATCTGCCAAACCACCCATCCACCACTTTTCCTCTACTCCTGCTGACTTGTTACAGGCACTGCTCATGTGGACTCAACCCTCTCCTCCAGTCCCATATTCCCCTTGCCTTTCCCAGTCCACAGGCTCCCAGCTCCCAGGGTGCCTTACTCTCCTTCAAATCCTGACTTTTGTTGTCCTTAGAATGCACCCAAGCTCTCTATGTGAATCCAGTGTGTAGCCAGGGCTGAAATCATAGCCCTAGACCCAGGAGGCAGACCCAGTTTGCAGGTGTAAAGGCAGGGGCTCTTCTCGTGGCCTGTGTCCTCCACAGCATACAAAAGATGGGATAGAAGTCCCGTGGCATTCCTACCTGATCCAGAGCACGAATTCCAATAGGTAGAGTCCGATGGCACAGTCCCAAAACCAGCTAGATGCAGAGGAGGGGGGCTGGAAGGATAAGTATTAGAGCTAGGCACCAGGGCTCAACTTCTGACTTGTTTATCATGATGTTCCATTAGAAGAATGTTGTGGAATATTATTTTAAGATGTGTTACATTTGTTTATGCTGTGGAATACTTGTTCAGTGATGCAAAGATATCTTGCAATATGCTGTGGAATATTTGTTCAATGATGCAAAGATATCTTGCAGTCTTTTATGTGACATTTGTTTAATTCTTTTTTTTAGATTTATTTATTTATTATGTTTACAACATTCTGCCTCGATGTATGCCCGCACACCAGAGGAGGTAAGCTGTGTTAATTGCCTGTCTAAAACACTGTATTGGTCTAATAAAGAGCTGAACAGCCAATAGGTAGGCAAGACCAAAGATCGGTGGGGATGGCAGGTGGAGAGAATAAATAGGAGGAGAAATTTGGGAAGAAAAGATAAAGGAACAAGGAAAAGAAGGAGAAGCCAGGCAGTGCATGCCTTTAATGCTAGCACTTGGGATGCAGAGGCAGGCAGATCTCAGTGAGTTCATGGCCAGCCTGGTATACAAAGTGAGTTCCAGCACAGCCAGGAAAGTTACAGAGAGAAACCCTGTCTCAAAAAACAAAAAACCAAAAAAAAAAAAAAAAAGAAAAAAAAAAGAAAAAGGAGAGGGGACACCAGGGGCCAGCCGCCCAGCCAGACGTGGAGTAAGGGTGAAAGTAATATATACAGAAGAAAAGGAAAAAGCCCAATCAAGAGGTAGAAGGGATAATTTAAATTAAGAAAAGCTGGCTAGAAACAAAACAAGCCAAGCTTGGGCAGGGCATTCATAAGAAAGAATTAGCCTCCTTGTGATTTATTTGGGAGCTGGGTGGCAGGCAGCCCCTCCCCATAAGAGCAAAGAGTAAGAAGAGTGAAAAACAACCAACTGTAGAAGACATGTCCCAGGAGGGATTAATGTTAGAGGAGGAGGGAGGAAAGTGAGATGACCAGAACAATTGGGAGCCCTTTTTCTCCATGGCAAAGTTAATTTCCACCATGTGGATCCCAGGACTTGAGCTCAGGTCATCAGGCCAGGCTTAACAGTCGCTGTCTTTCCTGGAGATCCTGTGATCCAGGTGTTCAGCAGTCACCTTCACAAACCCCGTACTGTCCCCTACACACAGGAGGATTTGGACACCACTGACATTCATTTTTAAATTATGGCATTTTAAAGGTTCATTTTGTGTGTGTTTATATGTGTACCTGTGCACCTGTGCAGGCCAGAAGCCAATACTGAGCATCTTCTTTAGTCTCTCCATCTTAATTTCTTGAGACAGTCTCACACTGAACCTGGAGCTTACCCAGTAGCTAGACTGACTGGCCACTGAGCCGCAGGATTCCTCCCATCTCTACTTCCCCAGTAGAGATACAGGTGTGTGCTACCACCCAAAGCCTCTTTATATTTATTTTTTCTGGATGCTGGGGATGCTGCAAACATGGGTCCTCATGCTTGCATGGCAAGCACTTTATTAACTGAGCTAACAACACCTCAGCTGGTAAGTGATGGCTTTGTTTGTTGTGGAATAGACTATTACTTTAACTAGGTAAAGATGTGTTATATTTGTTTATGTGACAGACTATTTAACTGGGTAAAGGTGTGTTACATTTGTTTATGCTGCATCTGTTTCATTATGTAAAGATGTGTTTCTGTTTTACCTTGCCTGCCTAAGGTACCTGATTGGTCTGATATAAAGCTGAACAGCCAATAGCTAGGCAGTAGAGGGATAGACGGGGCTGGCAGGCACAGAGAAAAAGTAGGAGGAGGAAGCTAGACTCGAGCGGAGGAGAAGACCAGGAAGACAAAGGAGAAGCCCGGGGCTAGTCAGTCACGGAGTAGGACATACAGAATGAAGGGAAAGTAGAAAAGCTGAGGCAAAATGTAGAAGAGGAGAGACAGGTTAGTTTCAGTTTTTAATAAGAGCTAGTGGGACAAGCATAAGATGTGAGTATTCATAATGAATAATAAGTCTCCGCGTCATGATTTGGGAGCTGGTTGGTGGCCCTAAAGAAAGCCTGCTGCATTTCTTTCCTTCTGCTAAGAAGCCCCATATCTGCAAGGCTGTGACTAAAGGAGACAAAATACGCTTTTTCTTCAACTGAAGTGGAAGAGCGGAAGTGTTAGAGAAGGAAGGATCCTGTGGGCCAGGCCGGCTGTCTCACACTCATCCATCCTGTCTGCTCCTTCATGTACTTCAGTTCTTTCTGTCTCTCTCCCACATCTAGGTTTTGACATGCCGGACCCCATCTTAGCCACCTTCCTTCCCACCTTCACCTGTCTCTTCTTCTCTTTGTGTTCAATGACAAGCCCATTTCCCTAGGCGTCAGGACAACAAATGTCAGCTACCTTGGGATAGATAGGGAGGGTGTGCGGGATGCGGTGAGGATGGACAGTGAGTACGCTAGTAACCAGCAGCCCCCTGCTCCGGGATGCTAGGCCAGGTTGGGCCCGCACTGCGCTTACCTTATTGGTGTGGTCTTGGTAGATGACGCTGACATTCTCACTGTGGGGAAACCAGAGGAAGCGGAAGTATTCTGACTTCTTCAGGTGGCTGTCTAGGTTGTCCAGGACCTGGCACAAGAGGGAAGTAGGGGAGATGATCTTGACTGTCAACTTGATTTGATTGAGAAACACCTGGATTAGTGAAGCCCCCTGAGTGGGTCTAGGCGAGTGTCTTGAGAGATAATTAGATCGTGCTGACTCTACCAAATCAATGAGTCAGGCTCTTTTCTGTTTTTTTTTTTTTTAGTTTTTTTTGAGACAGGTTTTCTAATAATACTGGCTGTTCTATAATTTGTCTTGTAGACCAGGCTGGCCTCAAACTCAGAGATCTGCCTGCTTTTGCCTCCTGAGTGCTGGGATTAAAGGTGTGAGCTGCTGCCACCACCACCACCACCTGCCCAAGCCAAGCTATTGATGGATTCATAATATGAAGATATTATCGGAAGGTCAGAGCTAAGGCATAACTGGTCCCTACCTGTACCCCACTTCCTCTGCGTCCTGCTGTCTACTGTGCTCTCCCTGCTGTGATGGGCAGAACGCCCTGAAACTGTGAGCTTCCTCCTTTAACATGTGCCTAGCACACATTGGTGACCACCATGCAAAAGAAACTGGTACAGGAAGAGGCTCTCAGTCACAGAGAGAAGTCAATAAACCCAAGTCCAGACCTGGGCATGTTTTGGTTTATTTCAAATTGAAGGAAAATACTGAAATTGTCTTAATATTACCAAATAGGAGCTGGGTGTGGTAGCACATGTGTTTAATCCCCGCACTCAGGAGGCAGAGGTAGGTGGATTTCTGTGGGTTTGAGGTCAACCTGATGTATAGAGTGAGTTCCAGGACAGCTAAAGCTGTCTGTTGGTCAAAAGCTCCAGATTAAGCATCAGTACATTCTAGCTGGACTTGGAAGCAGGACAAAAGATTTAACAATGTAGCATGCAAGATTACAACCTCTCTGCTGGAACATGGTCCTAGCTACATACACATCCTTTCCTAGCCTACGATGGTCCTTTTCTCCTTCACCTGTAGGAGCCTCTCTGCAGCTGTTCTCATGGAGGTCAACGATGGCCTCCTGGGATTGATCTGATTCCCTGCAGCATGCTGTGGACACCCATTCCCTGCTGCTTTGGGAACCCCACCTCTCCTCACTAGCTAACCCCTCTGGGCTCTCTCGTCAGTCAAATGCACAGCCTTCAAAGGCTCCTCTTTCACAAAAGCCCCCTTTTGCGGGGTGACGGACCCTCTCATTGATCAGTTTCCCAGGGTTTGACGTTCTCTGCCACTGCCTGACCTGTGTCTACTAGATTCCTATGCTGATTCCCTAACTGACCTTTGCTCCTTAGGATGTGACCATGTTTAGAGACTGGGCCCAGATCTTAGCCTGTGGTGTCTTCCATGGTAATGGAGTCCTGGCATGTCCCCCATAGGACAGGTGCCAGTCAGTGCCTGAGAACAGCTAGTCCTCATGTTTTCCTGGGGCAGATCTCTGCTCAAACCCCTTTCACACCTACAGGTCAGTAAGTCCTGAGGCTCTTCTGGGTCTTAAAGTTCATCATGTTTCTGACCAGTCTCTCTTGGGCCAAGAAAGAAAGGGTATGTGTGTGAAATGAAAATCCCTCTCCCTCAGGACACCAGAGGTCCACGGGAACTGTCAGAGGGCGAGGACCCCTGATTGGGCCCTCCATTTGTTTTCTGAGGCTGGGCAGTGGAGAGCAGAAGGCTAGTACCTCCTTGAGGGTTGAAGGGAAGGAGGTCTCCTGTAGGTGGAACTGGGGCACGCACTGCAGAGACACGGTGAGGATGATGCCCAGACAGCCCAGGTGCACCCGGGCAGCCTGGAACACATCCACGTTGCTTGACTCGGAGCATTCCAGAATTGTCCCGTCAGCCGTCATCAGGGTCAAGGCCACCACCTGGCAGAGGAATAAGTGTCACTCTTAATAGCCCGCTCAGAACCACGCAGCTTTCAGACTTGTACAACAGAGACCAGGCAGCACTTACTCCCAGGAGCCACCATGGCCAGCCACACAGCTCCCTAGCTAGGTGTCTTATACTACCTGAGAGGGCATTCTGGGAACTGAGGGAGAAATGGGTGAGAGGAATGCTGAACCCGGCATCAGCACTCAACTCTCAGGAGGAGTGTGGAGTACATTGTCATGTGACGTCACATGGGACCCTGCTGGCCTGGCCTCTCCTCCATCATTCTGTGACCTCACAGGCAAGAAGCAGCTAACCTCCACGGCCTGGTGATACTCTGCTGCCTGAAGACACAGATCCCCAGGAGATGTGCTTCACAAGGCTGAGTGAGCACATGTGTACCCTCAGATGAGACAGTGGATTGAGATCCCAACAGCCTTACCTGGCCGTGTGGAGTCAACAGAGGACTCCTCCCACCCCAGGAAATGCATTCTCCTGCTTAGCCTCACCTGACTAGAAAGTTTGGGTTTCTGTGAGTGTTGAGGCCTTTGGTTGCAAACTGAGGGGGTCCCCACTTGCAGAAAGGGCTTTCTCTCATGGCTATCGAGGTCCTTCTCTGCTACCTGCTCATTTGGATGGAAATCGCTTCTGACACGCGCAGTTGGTGGTTGGTTGCTCAGGGAGAGAGGACAGCTACAGCTGAACTAATCTGATTAACAGTGACCTGAGAGCAGAGAGGAGGAACTGACAGAAATGGGACACCGTGGCCAGCTGTGGGGACAGGGTGGCATCTCGCTATTTGTTGCACCGTTGGAGATTCAGAGCCTTGAGAAGAGCAGACGCGTGAGAGATGCTTCACGAGCATCTGAAGGCCTGTGCAGGGTGGGGCTCTGAATTAGTCACTCCTGTGACCTTAACAGGTGGCAGCCATCGCTACCTAGGAAGGTAGGAGGATCAAGCGTGAAGCCTGGGACTAACCTCCCACTGTAAGCCGATGTAATACGAGAGCTGGCCACCCCTTTACCTTGAATCTGAAATGCCCCCCATAGGTGCATGTGTTAAAGTCTTGGTTGCCAGTTGATGGGTCTGGAGGAAGCCATTAAATCATGATAGATTTGACCTCAGTGATCCACGGGTTGACTATTAGTTTGATGGAGGTTGTGAAAAAGTCAAGAGTTGGGTCTAACTGGAAGAAATATACTACAGGGGTTGTGCCCTGGAAGGACCTCTCCTGCCCTCGGTCCCTTCTTTTGCCATCCCTGGTTCCTAGCTGCTGTGTAGCAAACAGCTTTCCTGGGTCTTAACGGTCCTCTAAACCCACCGAATAAAAATATACCTTTCCTTCTTGAAGTGCATTTTTCTCAGACACTGTTATGGTATCAAAAAACAACCAATATCGTCGTCATCTGCATGACTGTGATGCAGAACAAGCCCCACCTCTTTAGTTACAGGCCTGCTCAGTGGGCTTCCAAAGAAAAGTAACCAATAAATCCGATGTGTGTTTTAGTGAGTGACTCCCTTAAATTAGTTTTACACCCTGACAACCAGCGCGGAGCAACTGACATGACCATCTTGACATCAGTCCTAGACAGTGATACACTGGGCTCATCTCTTGGGAGTGCTGCCTATATCCCCAGGGACCACTGGGCCCCTAGGGCAGTAAGCCCGGCTTTGAGAAGGCAATGGCCATGAAGGACTTCAAGTTGACAGTGTGGAGAGTTGAAAGTGTTTGGTTTCAGAAAGGCCATTCCTGAGGCAGGTAGCTCTGAACTGCCATTTGGCCAGACACCATTCAATGAGTGCTAACTCATGACCTTCACACTGTGTCCTCTCCCTGTGGGTTGGGCTATCTTCGTTTTGACTGAGGATTTTGACAGCAATGTACCCAGAAGCTAGGGACCCTACCAGTGTACACAGACCCAGGGAGAGATGGATTAAAATACATTTTTTTTAAATGAAGGACAGACAGATTCTGCCACAGGTTACCCCTATGCTTTTGCAGGCCCTACCTCCACTGCTACCCTGGGCAGTCCCATCCCCCGCCTGGCTCCTGGTTATAACTTCCATAGGAATTGGTGCCCTTTGCCCTGTGCTGCCTATGAGGATGTACAGGGGTGGGGATGAGAGTGTCCCTTGGGATGGCTAAGGCCGTGACAAACCTGGGGCTCCTTCAGGCCTGGTAAGGTTTAGGGAAGGAAGCGGCATTTCTGGAGGCACTTTCAAGTGTCTCAGGCCCACGCGGAGATGGATCTAACCTGTCATGGACCTAGGGGACAGACTCACCTGGGTGGCCAGGATGCCATGCTTGATCCCCGTGTTATGTGTGCCAGACCCAATGACGCCAGCAATCGTCACATCGGACACTGCTCCTAGACTGTGCTCAGCAGGTGGAGGAAGGGAGACAGAGAGCAGTCAGACTTCTCAGGGAGCCCCAGATGCATCCATGCTCTCTGGGACAGAAGACCCTCTTCCTCCCTGAGAATCCCCCATTCCCCTTCGACGGCCTAGCTTGTGGTAACCTCCATGACCAGCAGATGAGCAGGTTGGGGCATGGGCCTGTTTGCAGGGAGGCTTGACTATATAGCCTTTGAGGTCTCTGTAGCCCTTTCCCTGCCTACCAAAGGCATCTTCTCTAAGCAGAACCACAGGTTCTGCTGAGACTCCCCTGCTCCCAATTCACTAAGACTCGGGTACCTCTCTGGTTCCAAACACACAGCTATCCCAGCAAGGTCTAGGTAGGTGAGTCTCCCTGAGCTGGAAGGGAAGGAAGGGGAGAGGGCCCAGACACCCGTCCTACTTGGAACCTACACAACTTCCTCAGGGCTCTAGGAGAAAGCTAGCTAAGCTCCTTTTGACTCGGGGTCCAGGCCCGGAATGAGTCATGCTGAACTTAGGGAGCCCTGAAGTCTTTCGGTCCCCTCAACATGTCACTGCTGTTGATCCTCCTTCCTGTACAATACTGGTTAGTGTCTGTATCTACCCCCGCTTGCTGGAGCTCCTGTTAGGTGGGTCTGGGTTTCCTTTGTCTTTACTTCTCCAGAGCCTAAACATGGCCTATGCATGGTGATCACCCTATAAATACCCTAGCCACCCTGACCTTGGGAGAGAGGTGGGGACAAGGGTTTCCATAGTATAGAATTGTGGGACCTGTGCTAGGAAGGTGAGGTGAGCCGACCCCAACACCTGAAGATCAACACCTGAAGATCAACCCCAGATTTCCACAGAGTTAATTCCAGTTGCAGTGAGATTTCTACACCACTGTTCAGACATCTGGCGGTACTTTCTCAGAGTTACCCTGTTAGCTGCCTTCAACTGCTGTGCTGATGGCAACCCTAGGACTAAGGTGAACAAGGACAAAGGCATTTGGATAGAAGGACCAGAAGGCCACGGCATGAAGGGCCACCTTGTTTTTCTGTCCCTCCCAGGGCTGTTTTACCTGTCTTTGTGTATTGGGCTCTGTAGCTGTAAATTGCCAATTTTTGGAAAGACTCAATCCTCAGTTGCCTTATCCTGGTTCAAGACCATTGACCAATGCTCAAAACTCCCCCCTCTTAACTCATGGGGCATGACGAGTAAACCACCCCAAGTGGGAAGGGCAGAGCTCTGAGGAAGGGGTACACCCCAAGAAGTGTGACTGTCTCACTGCCAGATCCTTGAGTGTGGGGGCCCAGAGCAAGGAGGGGAGAGGCAGCTCTGGCCCAGTGTGGGCCAGAGGAGGGGCTCTTACTTGGACATGGCCAAGCCATGCTTGTCCAGCTGTAGATGCAGGTCAGCCAGGAGGATACCAGCTTCTACCTTCACCTGCTTCTTCTTCGTGTCCACCTGCCAGAAACAGCACAGGCTGGGAGGAGCTAGGCTACATTCGGGCCCTTGGTCCCCAGTCAGACCCCTCTGGAATGTGAGTATGGCTATCCTAGCCTGCGGTCAGCTTGAGCCACTTTTCAATCTGAATGGGGGTACTGAGCCCAAGAATGCTGGGACACTAAGGAAAAGTCTGTCTTTGAAACAGAATCTTATTATGGAGCCCCGGTTGGCCTCAAAGGTGCAATCTTCTTGTAGCAGCCTTCCAAGCAGAGGGATTACAGATGCACGCCTCAGTCCCTTGCTTCTGGTCTCACAAAGTCAGCTCTTTATTTAGTTTTGTAAGTGGAATCCCGGGCCTTTGCACATGCTGGGCAAACACTCTTGACTGAGCCTCCCTTTAGGCCTTCAGGGATGTCCGTGCAACTGCTCTTTTCACAGGCAAAGGGAACGAGAGTCAGAGAAGCGAAGAGCTTTGTCCTGGGACTCTTGGGCTAGGATGGGGGCTGGGCCACACCCACACTCCTCACTTTGTCCTCACTTGGAAGGTGTGGACAGGGTCTGTTGCCACAGGGCCTGGTCATGCTATTTGGAGGACAAAGTCTCAGGATGCTCTCACCAACTGTGGGATCCTGAGATCTGATGGCAGCCAGGGGCTATACCAAGATCCAAGGTCATGCAAACAGAAAAGTTGGTGGCAGAGCTGGGACGAGGATCCACACCAGCCCAACCATGAAGTGCTTGCTTGTATAGCCACCCAGGGCCCAGAGCTTGGAAAATCAATTGCTGAAGTCCAGTTCTCACTAATTAGCAATCAGAGTTAATTACTGCCATGACTGCTGTTCGCTAAGAGACAGAGCCTGCCAGTCTGAGCAAATACGGGCACAGGATAGAAACCTAGGTCATCGCTAGCTGGCTGCGGGGAAGGGAGAGAATTCTGTGGAATTCAGCTCAGGGGAGCCGGTCCTGGCAGGTGAGGACTGTAGTCCTATGCACATGTTTCTGGGATCCCATGTCCCTAGTAGGCAAACTGCATGGACAATATTGCAATAGGAAGCTAGTGGCAGTTCTGAGTCTGGGTCTAGCTTTGCTGTTGTTTGCTGTGTGACCACAGGCAAGTCACTGCCTGTCTCTGATCTTCATGTCTCTTTGTAAGCCTAGTTCAATGTCGCTTTGGGTTCTTGTGGAGTAGTCACTGTGATTCTACTCTTTGAGAGTCTCTTTCTCCTCACCTCTTTGAAAGAGGTGGAATGAAGACTACAACAAGAGAAGGGATGGACATCTTCTCTGTGGCCAGGCCAGGCAGACCTGACAAGTAGCCTGAGCAAGCCCAGGGAGGGCTCACATGACAGACAGTTGCTCAGGACGGCCAGGGATCAGGGTGTCACTCTGGGGACCCAGAGCAGGAAGAGGCTGAGGACTAAGGCCAAGACTGGGACAGCATGCATGGAGTCTGGGACACAGGCTGAAGCTATCAGCTTAGGAACAGCTGGGGAGAAGAGCCACAGGCCCCAGTACCTGCAGAACCCGGTTCATCTTGCCCATGTGGATCATGAAGCCATCAGTGCAGGCGATGTCTGAAGGGGAGTGGCCACCGCCCACCACCTTCACTCTCTTGTTCTGCTGCAGAGCCAGGGCCAGCACCTGCCAAGACAAGGTCAGTCAGGACTTGCTCATAGAGGAAGCCAGGAGCTCCTTGGGGCCAGGTGTAGTCTGCAGCGGGTGGGAAGAAGTTGAAGAGCGAACCTTTGGCATTAGTGGACCCGGCCTGGTTCCAGAGAGCCAGAGAGATGGGCTTCGAGGTAAGCTGGGACTAATACATCTCAGAAACTGTCATCTTAGGTAGCTATGCCAAAAGCACACTCCTGGTTCCCTCCCTCATCCCTCCATTGCAACCAAAGTCAGTTTGCTTTCCAGCTTCTCATCTATTCCTGGTGCTTCTTTCTCATCTCTTAGGGTACAGCCCTCAATCCCTTCACTGGTTCCCCAGCAACCCTGATTCTTCTTAGAAAGTCATCTTAGATATGAGTGTAAGTGTGTATCTACGCATGTGTTTATATATGTGCACAAGCACTCATGCATATATGTACAGGTGTTCAACCCCATGTATATATATGTGCATATGTATGCACAGGTCTACATGCATATATATGCATAAATGTGCGTTTGTAACAGGTATCTATGCACAGGTCTGTTTGTGTGTCTGTGTATAGATGTATGTATATGTGTGTGTGTATATCTTGTGCAGATAGATGCATATGCATGCAGACCTATGTATATGCATATGCATGTACACATTCATATGCATATGCACACATAGGCATGCATGAATATCTGCACATGTGTGTGCATGCCCGTGCACAAGGGTTTGCATGGAGTTCATTGCAGAAGTCTGAGATGGGAGTACAGACAGACATGGCTGCTTTTGGCACATCGTTGTGCACACCTTGTGGTGGGCATCGAAATTACAGCTGGCTGCTGGGCAGACCTGAAGGCTGGGGGGGGGGGGGGAGGGACAGGAAGAGGAGCTTAGTGTTTACCTAAGTGGGACAGCAGTTAGGGACTGTGGTGGGCTTAGACCAGGAAGCCCCCCCACTGACCTCTGTTCCAGGGCCAGGACTGTGGCTGCAGACTGGGCAGCCCATGTGGTGTTGGACCCACCTCTCTGACCTCCTCCACTGATGTGGGCTGGTAATACATCTCTGGGCTGCAGCCATAGGTCTTTGCCCAGTTTTGGAACTGGAACCCTTTGCATCCATGGACCTGTACCAGGAAGAAAGCCAGGTCTCAGCTGGTGAGCAGCCACTCTGCCCTAATTGTAGGCTGTCACATCACCAACCCCACATCCCACACACAAAGAGGGGAGGACGCAGCCACAGCACAGAGCCCCGGCTCCCTTTCATTGCCAAGGTTCTTAGGTCAGGGCCACTTAGGAAGATCAAACAGGTGGCAGCTGCTCTGAAGCTGGTGTCCCACTCAGGGTTTCCTGGTGTTATCTTGTGATTCCCTCCTGATCAGACGGAAGGGAATTCGGCCCTTTCTGAGGCCAAGGGGATGGCTCGGGTCAAACAACAAGGGAACCTGATAAACCAGACCTCAGGTCATTCCCTACTCAAGGCGTGTTGATGGCTCAGCAGATAAGAGTGCTGGAGGCCAGGGGCTGCAGAGAAAGAGCTGGAAGAGGTGGTCCAGGAGACAAGGGCTGGGACGTGGCTTCTCTAGCAGGGTGTGTCTCAGGGGCTAAATGGCAAATCTTCTTCTTGACCTCCAGCCTGGGAATCGGAATCCAGTTGCACACCTCTGTATAGCCAGTCAGACACTGTATAGCTGGGTCTTCTATATGTCATCTCTTATTAGATCTTATAATAATGTCACCAAATAGAGGATATTAGTCCTCTTTCAGCTGCCAAAAAATCAAGGCTCAGAGAGGTGAAAGGGTCTTTCCCAAATTTGCAGAGACCCAATTGAAGGCGTTAAGAGTCCAACCTAGGCTTTCTACCTCTTTTAATGCCCCAACAGTTCCCCCAAGAGCACTTGGAGGATCCCCATGGCCCCTCCCATGACTCCAGCCTCGGCCTGACCTTGCCATCCGCACACTCTCACACCTGACTCACACAGGTGCCGCCTGGACACAGCTGACCTGATCTACTAGCTGCATCATGGGTCCCCGCCATTCCTACCATGGTTCCAGTAGTCTGTGGTGTCAGATGACTTGAAGTGTTCCCAGGAAGGTCGAACAAAGCCCTAGGCAGTAGGGGCAGTGGTCACTCAACCTCAGCTCTGTGTTACCAGTCAGAATGGGACTGGTGGATTGGTCACCAATGCGTTTGGCCCGCGGCAGGTAAACAGTGCCGAGTGGGCTCCTCCCCCTGCAAAATCCAGACAATCCCTGTAAATAGTATCTAGGCCCTGCCCCCTGCCTGGATGCTCCCAGGAAGGCTGAAAGATAGACATTCAACCACAGCTGCTGTGCTCCTAAAACCCACAGCCTGAGTTCTGCACCCAGCCTTGGGGGTTTAGAGCCAAAAACACCAATCCCCGCTCCTAGGCTCAGAACAAGACTGACTGCCTAGGTATCTGGCTTTGACACAGCCTAACGGGCCCTTCAAAGCCAGGTCCCTATGCAGCCCTGGTACTGAGCCCCCCGAAACTGCTCCCCGCTTCCATGCTGACCTATGATGGTTGTGGGACGAGATTGCTGAATGGTAGTCTAGGGCATTTGGAGTCTAACTGGCATCCTACTGAAGCAGACCCTTAAAGGCTGTTTGGGTTAAAACTCACAGATCCCTCACTTGGACCCACAAGATGACTAAAGGCAGGACGGGAGCCTGACTCCTGCCCTCGTTGTGTCTCTCCTTTCCCTAAGACATGGAGATAAGTCATTGTCCTTAGAGCCACCGTGGATTCTTTTCATTTACTTTGGTTGTTTTTGGAGACAGGATTTCTCTGTGTGGTCTTGACTGTCCTGGAAGTCACTCCTTAGACCAGGCTGGCCTTGAACTCAGAGATCCACCTGCCTCCACCACAGGTGCTGGGATTAAAGGTGTGGGCCACCATGCGCATCTTGGATTCTAAGAACAGCACCACCTCCTAGCACAGACCACCCTCCAAATTAGGGCCCTTATCCACGAAGGTGAGGCTGTGCCCTGGAGCCCAAGGGCTCATTGCTGGAGAACTAAATGTCTGGTGTGGAGGGCAAAAATGCCTCTTACACACAGATAAGCACTAGGAGCAAGGGAAGTCAACCCCACAGTTTGCCTCTGCAAGGAAATGACGGGCTTTGCAGCTCTTTCTGGGGTGCCAGGAATGGCGTAGTTCACAACCTGGGGATCCTTTTCTGTCCGATGAGACAGGCTCTGCTGAATTTCCCAGAATTAGTGGTTTTACTTTTTTTTTGGTTTTTCGAGACAGGGTTTTTCTGTGTAACAGTCCTAGCTGTCCTGGAACTAGCTCTTGTAGACCAGGCTGGCCTCGAACTCACAGAGATCCTCCTGCCTCTGCCTCCTGAGTGCTGGGATTAAAGGCGTGCGCCACCACCGTCCGTCATTTATTTATTATTTTTATTTTATGTGCCTTGGTGTTTCATCTGCATGTACATCTGCGTGAGGGTGTCGGATCCCCTGGAACTGGAGTTATAGACAATTGTGAGCTGCCATGTGGGTGCTGGGAATTAAATCCAGGTCTTCTAGAAGAGTAACCAAAGCTTTTCACCACTGAGCCATCTCTCCGGCCCATCCCCCTAAATCTAGAGCATCGCTTTTGGACAATAAAACCCTTGGTGACTTCTGTGTTATCATAGGGCCAGACTAATCCTGACACTACAGGTGTTATGTCTACTTCAGTCATGCTCCCTAGACCCTTACCCTGAATATTGTTTCTCAGTCCACAGGAACCCATTATACCAGTGAAGCCACAGTACTTTGCAAAGAGCTTTAATGTAAACACGTCCTCAAGCAGGACGGTGGTGGTGCACACCTTTAATCCCAACATTCGGGAGTCAGAGGCTGGCAAATCTCTGTAAATTTGAGGCCAGCCTGGTCTACAAAGAGAGTTCCAGGCTCCAAAGCTACACAGAGAAATCCTGTTTGGAAAAACAAACAAAACAAAACAAGACAAAACAAAATAAACAAAACAAAACAAGACAAAACAAAACAAACCAAAAAAACCCAAAACAAAAACAAACACGTCTTCTACAGTTGTGTCCTTGGGACTGAGTTAATTGTTATCTGAAAACCCGCTTTTCCAAAATTTTGCTTGGGTAAAGGCTAAAGTAAAATCTGGGCCATACGGGCTGAGCCAAGTTTCTTACCTAACCCTAATTGTCTTTTCCCTGCCTGCTGTAAAGCCCGCAGGGGAATCACCGCAGTGGGCACCTCAACACGGGACACCTGACCCTGGAAGGTAAGAAAAATTTCCTTCAAATAGAAATGAGGTTTAGGAAACTTGGTTCTTTCACCCAAGGGGTCGAGACTGTAAGCGAGAGAGTGGAAACTGATGCAGTTCTGCTCAGTCCTTTGAGACAAAGCCCGTTGTGCAATTAGAGATATCCATTAAGATCCAAAGGAGCAAAATATTCAGCGCTATAGCTCCACAGTGTTCTAAGGATAGCCCATCCAAGAGAAGATAAAAATTCCGTGTAATTATTTTGCAAACTGGAGTACAGTAATGTTTTGCTTGGAACCTCTCAGGAAACAAAAAAAAAAAAAAAAAAAGGAAGAAAAAGGAGAGAGAAAATTCTCTGCCACAGATCTTGGCAGGTCTTGGCGGGATGGGCCAAATGGTGACCAGCCTTGTCAGTGGTCACAGAGCCACAGTGGGGCTGTTGCCCTTCTGGGTGAACTGGTGGGAACTCACCGGTCTCTTCAGCCTTTTTTTGGCCTCTGAGCTCTGGAGGAGCAGAGTGAATTCCAAGGACTGGCCCGTGGGACTCCAGCATCAAGACATGAGCTCGCTTGGTTACCTCAGAACTTAGAGTTTGTATTTGTTTGCTTAATTTTTGTTTAAATGTTTTTGGTTTTTGCCCATAGCAGGAATAGCTCAATACGGTCCCTTCATGGGAAAAACCTGAAAACAAGTTCAACTCCTAGGACAGAAAGCAATCATGAGAGGCAGGCGGATCTCTGTGAGTTCGAGGCCAGCCTGGTCTACAAGAGCTAGTTCCAGGACAGGCTCTAAAGCTACAGAGAAACCCTGTCTCGAAAAACCAAAAAAAAAGAAAGACCAAGCAAGCAAGCAATCACGATCAGGCATAACACAATCAGCCAACGCTGTTTAAATTTCCAGAGATATTAGCCAGCATTATATGGAAGATATTTTTTTCTTCTGCTTATCTAATCAATGCTTAAAGGCTCAACTTTCACGGTAAGAGCAAAATCTAAAATTTCAGATCACCATTGGGTGCGTTCTTATCTGCTATCACTCCTGAGGAGTTAGCTCTGCTTTTATGTTGCTTTCTGGAAATTCTCAGTTAAATTCTGCAACAAATATAACGTCTAAAGTGGAGTGAGTTATTAATCTATTAAATAATGCAGTTGCTAAAGCAATAACTCATAGAAATAATCCCTTACTGGTAAAGACCATTATTGGTTTCATACTGATCATTAATCGGCAGGTTGTATTATCAAACTACTTGGGATTTACAGATAATTATCCAAACACTTCCTGTATTAATCAGGGTTCTCTAGATTCACAGACCTTACAGAATGGATGTCTATCTATCTATCTATCTATCTATCTATATGAAAGGGGAATTCATGGGAATGACTTACCAATCCAACAATGGCTGGCTATGAATGGAAAATCTCAGCAGTTGTGCGTGGCTGGGTGTCTCAGCTGGTCTCCTCTGTATGCTGGAATCTGGAAGAAGTCTCCCCAATGCCAGTAATGGATGGATGTACTGACGAGGCAATGGCAGGCAGGCGAAGAATGAACCCTTCCTTCTCTCACTGTCCTTATGCAGACTCTCAGCAGAAGGTGTGGCCTTCCAGCCTCAAGGTCTGGATTAAAGGGGTGTGCCTTCCGTGACTAGATCCAGACCAAAGGTGTGTTCCCCCAGCCTCAAGATCCAGAACAAAAGCATGTTGTCTTCTCACCTCAAGATCTGGATCCCAGGTGGGCCCTCCATTTCTGAATTGTAGCTCATTTCGGATATAGTCAAGTTGACAACCAAGAGCAGCCACCGTGTTCCCTCTTAAAATTTCTTTCTTTTTTTTTTTTTTTTTTTTTTTGGTTTTTCGAGACAGGGTTTCTCTGTGGTTTTGGAGCCTGTCCTGGAACTAGCTCTTGTAGACCAGGCTGGTCTCGAACTCACAGAGATCCGTCTGCCTCTGCATCCCAAGTGCTGGGATTAAAGGCGTGCGCCACCACCGCCCGGCCCCTCTTAAAATTTCTAAAGATATTTAATCCCAGGCTGTGAGGCTGGTGGATCTTTGTGAGTTCAAGGCCAGCGTGGTCAACAGAGCAAGTTCCAGTATTGGCTCCATAGCTACAGAGAAATCCTGTCTTGGAAAACAAACAAACAAACAAAAACAAAAAAAGAAAAAAGAAAAAAAAAGATTTTTTTTTAAAAGAAATCCATGGTTATTGCCTAAAATTACATCTAAAAATACTATAGTTTTAGGATTTTTTTTTTTTTTTTGGTTTTTCGAGACAGGGTTTCTCTGTGGCTTTGGAGCCTGTCCTGCAACTAGCTCTTGTAGACCAGGCTGGTCTCGAACTCACAGAGATCCGCCTGCCTCTGCCTCCCGAGTGCTGGGATTAAAGGCGTGCGCCACCACCGCCCGGCCTTAGTTTTAGGATTTTCAATCTAAAAAAGATTGCTTTTGTAGCTAACTCTTTGAAAAGACAAGGAGCATATACACTGTATATGAATTCCATGTGTCCCACAAAGATTGTACCCATCCCAGGTGATACAACTCAAGAATCTAAGCTTGCTACAGTCAATCAGCTTTTATTAGATGTTTCTCAGCCATTGGCTATTGTAGCTGACTCTGCTGTTTGTATAAATTTGGATGGTCATCTATTGGATGGACTAAGGAAGAATCAGCGCCTTCCAGTCATGATGGGTAGCTTTGCACCCCCAGTCTGCACATGGCACCCAAAATGGCTATCCTGAAGGGAGATGGAGGCTCAGCATTAGCTGACCTCAGATGTAAATCTGAGGGACATGAAGGACGGAGATGCACTGAGAATGGAAACGGACCTAGCTCAAGAGAAATGAATATTGCAGAAGGATTGTAAGTGTAGAAAGGCATAGAGGGAGGAAACATTTTGAAGGAGGCGCCTGAGGATGGAGTCTACTTAACAGGGCA